AACCTTTACATATCTGGGCAGCATCAGTGATGAACAGGGTGGATCTGATGCAGATGTGGAGGCGCGGATCGGCAAAGCATGAGCAGCATATTTACAACTGATGAACATCTGGAACTCAAAGCAACTGTCAACCAACACCAAGGTCAGAACTTTCAATACAAATGTCAAGACAGTTCTACTGTATGGGGCGGAAACCTGGAGAACTACGAAAGTCATCATCCAGAAGATACAGGTGTTTATTAACAATTGTCTACGCAAAATACTTCAGATCCATTGGCCGGACACTATTATCATGAACCCACTATGGGAGAGAACAAACCAGATCCCAGCGAAGGAAGAAGCGCTGGGAGTGGATAGGACACATAATGAGGAAAGCACCCAACTGTGTCACAAGGCAAGCCCTCAGATTAAATTCTCAAGGTCGAAGGAGGTGGAGAGAAAGTCCAAAGACACATTTCGTCGAGAAATGGAGACAGAACTGAGAAAAATAAACAAAAAATCGCATAGAACTGGAAAGGGAGGTCCAAGACAGAGTGGGTTGGAGAATGCTGGTCTATGCTCCATCGGGAGTCACAGACGTAAGCAATTGAGTGAGTAATACAAGGTAACATTTAACAAGGACCACGCCTGCAAGACCGAGTCATGCCATCCGATCAACTCGAAATAATTCAATTCATTGTTCCCGCCTTCTCCATCATTGAGTTTTCCACCGCATTAAATATTGAATGTCTATTTTCCCAAGTGTCTCCCGTTCAACCTTGAGGATTGTATGATTAGGGCTCATCGCCACTACAATCTAACGGAAAAAACACACTGAAAGCTCTCTCGCAGCATTTTGTTAGACAGTTATGTCGTTTATTTTTCCCTCTCTCTGTCGTGTAGTTTTATCTTTATTCATATCTCTTTCAAGTGCAATTTACGTTCTTCAATCTTCCTCGTCCGAGCTTTTATTATGTGACCATGGTAAAAGACCTACCCTTTGTTACCTAATTTTTCTGTTGCATGTTGCCGGACTATTGTCGGTAAGATCGTATACGACTAAAATCAAAGTCACGGAGTGGTTAAGATTGTGACTATTAACGCGAAAACTCAACTTCGAAAATGGTTTGTTACCTCTTGAACCAAGATTCAGATGTGACAGCAGCATCAGAATCAAAGTGAAACTGTCTCACAGAGTTTGTCAGTGATTCGGTAGTCCAGTACCTTAGTTTGAACACCTGTACTGCAGTTTCTTGATATGACAACATTTGTGCCATCGTTTTGATCGTTTTTAGTCGTCATGCCTGAGATTTTTTAGCTGCTGCAAAGTAGATTTAAGCTGATCTGCCCAAACGGACATTCTACATTTTTGTTTGACAAAGTCATTATCTCCCGAAACTGTCGTCACAGGCGATGTTCAATATCTGAAACCGATACATGGTGTTCCACTCGCTAACTCCTCAACTGACTACTTCAGCGAGAACACAAGAGTGGGCGAGAAAGTGTATTGGACTACGGAATAAAATGCACAGGTACTCATTCATATTGATCTGTCACTCTAATCCTTAGGATATCGGTACGTTTCGTAGTCAACGAAATGCAATTGCCCTTTAGGTCACTTTTGATTTTCAGAGACTGAACTTCTCACTAGGCTACTTCTAACTGACTCTACATATCAGATACACATGCCGCCAACACTCTTATACTTTTTATCGACTTAATTCGTGTTTCGGCTCCGTACAGTAGGACTGCCTTGAAGTTCGTATCTAAGGTTTTGAACTTCATGGTAGTTGAAAGTTGTCTTGAGTTTTACGTTCTTCAGGTGTAGGAGTGCTGCTCATGCTTTGCCAATTCTTCACTTCACATCCCCATCAGATCTCTCTTCGTTGTCAGTGAGGCAGCCCAGGTACGTGAATTTTTTCACATCTTCCAGAGCTTCTCCATCAAATGTGATTACGTTGATGTGCCAAATGTTGAATGTGAGGATCTTGCATTTTCTTTTGTGTGTGTTGAGGCATGTTGATGCAGAGATTGCTGCTACACGGATTGTCCTCATATGCATTTGCCCATGTGTATGGATAGAAGTATCAGGTCATCTTTGACGCTCAAATCGTCTAGTTGCATCTGAGCTCTCCATTGTATTCCATGCTTCCCTCTGGTCCTCACTTCGAATGCATCTGTGGGTTGTCCTTCATGCAATTAATTAGGACTTTCGTGGCATCAATCCGAACTATGCACAAACACTTTATCTAACGTCATATCTTACTGCAATAATAATTTTTTCTTGATTATTTTCTATTTCGTTTTTGTTACTAATTTGACGATACATACATAGTTGTTTATTCTTGTTCTGTGTTCATATACACGCCTATTGAACTGTTCACTTATTTCACGTCTCTTTTATTCCTATTACCTTATTTTCTCTCTTTCCTTCTTTAAACTCAATTCAATATTCTTCTCAGTTACTCATAACCTGATTTAACATTATTATTCCATTTCCATTATAACTTCTCTTTTTCAAATACAGCAAATGTAATGCTGACATTATTGCATTTTTGATGAAACCCGAAATGGTTTCTTCACAACATTTATGTACCCATAAGATGTTTGCGAATAACAATAATAATACATGACTTCCTAGTGTAGTCTGTCGTATGAATTCCGTTTGATTTTGACGATTTTCTCAGGTACATCATGATGTCGAAGAATTTTTCGTAGGGTTTTCCTATCTACGCTGTCACATGCCTCAACATAATCAGGGAAGTTGATGTATGATGACGAGTTTTTTTGATGGATTGTTCAAGATGATCCATAGTGTCGCGATTTGGTCTGTGTACGACCGGTCCTTACGTAATCCAGCCTGTTGACCTCGAAGTTGGGCGTCTACTGGATCTTTCATACAGTTCAGAAACACTGTTCAAAGCTTTTTCTGGTACCGTTAGTAGTGTGGCGACTCTGTAGTTCTCACATTTGCTCTGCTCATTCTTTGATATATTGATGAGAAATCCTTACTTCCGGTCCTTTCGCACTTGTTTTTCCTCCTGAGTCTTCCATAATCGAACGTGGAGTATGTTTCCAGTGACATTTGTGTCTGACTTTTATTCATAATAAATATGTTGTTCTATCTCCAGCTTAAATGTTTAATCCATCACATGTAGACAGTTGTTACGATAGGACGAGCCAGTGTAAAGAATGATATGAATTCCACGAAATATATCATATATTAGACAGTGAAATCATGAAAAAATCTACAATTTTAAGGCTAGGTCCATCGTTGGGACAGTACTAATAACGAAGTAGACTATAATTCCACAGATCCACCTGGTTCTCCGTGGTATGATCCGGTGAGATCCATGAAGCTTTGTGTACGCATATGTGACGGAATATTGTGCCGCCTATAATCAATTTGTTGAATGCACAGTGGTTTGCGTATCTCTCCCAGTCCATATCCGGTGTTTTTGATCTCGACTTTGACGTTTAGGTCTCCCATCCGGATGGAGAGATCCTTTCTTGGGCACTTCACTGTGATTGATTGCAGCATCTTGTAGAAATGATCGTTATCATCTTCATTGCTATCACTTGTGGGTGCATAACGTTGGATAGCATTCATTGTAATCCCCTCATTTTTTGTGAAGGATGCTTTAATGATCCTGGGTCAATGAGCTTCCCATCCTATAAGCGCATTACGTGCTTCTTTGGACAGCATCAGAGCAACTCACTGAGTGTGTAGAGCATTCTCCCTTCGCGGCTAACGTTTGCTGTCCAGCTTGGGTCCTCTGGGTTTCGCTAATTCCGAGAACCGCCAACTTGTATTTCCATAACTATTTGATTGGTCCTCCAGGTTTCCCACATTGTCCGGACGTTCGATGTACCTATATTAATTGTTGCTATGGTTATTAAAAGGGGTACCGACCTCGTGACTTCCGAAGAATCTCAGCTTTTACCATGAAGCGTTACAATTCTTCTAAAAAAAGATCATTGAACTCCGAGGACAGAATTCTAATGGTTTAAATTGTTTTTTCTGGTAAGCGCCTTTTAGCAAGTTTTTTTCTACGGGATGGAGTGGCTGATCCCACACCGAACTCTCCTTCTTTACTCGGTTTTGAATTTCGAAGTATTCTTAAAGAGCTACTTGCGTAGTTAGTTGCAAACTAATTGGAAAACAATTCTATGTTAACTATCCCTACAAAACAATCTTCCCATAACACTCGATTTACCGCATTATTTTTTCTCACACTGAGACCCACCAAACATACTGCCTGATAATGTGATAGCTGCTGCTGTTAAGAGACATGTACGGTCAAAGAAGTGCTATTGAGCTTTAATCAAACCATCCTGCAGTCAAGTCAATAAGTGTCAAGCAGTTCATTGATCTTCGTTGAGGTCACAAACAACTAACGCGCATAGGTAATTTGTTCGCCATGGACTGGAATATGCAGCAATGATCGAAATCTGTTCCTTCTACCCATTCTTACTAACAAACTTCTGTTATAACGTCGTTTTGTGTTGCATGGTCATCAAAGCAGCAATCAGGCTTGCTTACGACGAAAGGGTAATCCACGTTAGGTACTAGACACAAGGTGTGACTTCGACGTTAGTTGGTTGGTCACATCATCCCCGTTGAACTGGAGTAGGCTCCCAGTAATTTGGTGCAGGTCAACCACGTTGGTGAACCACAAATTCTAAAACCCTGAGACAAATTCAGTCAACCGAGCGACAAAACGTACAGTTCAACAAACAACCAAGCTGACTAGGATTGGTACAGTTGGGTGGCTAGACTATCACCCACCGACACTGTCAAGTACATGGAGCCGTATCGAAACAACAGTATATTACAAATTCACGGAGAAGATATTAGATAAATTGCAATGCACACATTGAATACGTATAACTACTAGCTCAGATAAATTTAAATATTTTCATTTTACTTTGTTGAAGATATAAAAATTTTTCTTAGAGCGAAAATAGACGAAAATTTAATCTGTCAACTTGTTCTTGTTCGTTGAGACAATATTGGATATCGGATATATCTGACTGAACTTTACGACTGCTGCGTTACAGGGATGGAATTAATGTAGTGAATCAGTCAGTTTCATACGTCGTGTACATGCAAGGAGATAAAGCTGTTCGAAATTGTAAAATGTCACTTGGGTTTACATATTTGTAGACGGAATATAAGGTAGCCATAATCTTAGGCAATATAGTGGGTTGACTTAACGAATATTTAGTGAGTAACAATGGGCGGTGTGACTATAATTTTTGGACGACCTTTTAGCAACGCTCGAGTGACCTTGGGAGTGTCCACTTGATAACTATGACTAAATGAGGGTTGTAAACCAGTGTGCGGAGTTAAAATTATGATTTACAATTGATGATTAGGTTTATGAATTAGATTTAGGGTTTTCATAATGAACTGACCTCAGCTATAATCGAAAAGCTCTATTTAACCAAATAGATGACTGAATTTTGCTCTAAAATTTGGGGCCTGCTTTAAATTAAAGTCTTGCCGCGGTTAATATGCTATTTAATCACTTCGCAATAGATTATTTCGACATCAAGATGAATTTCTCGGTGTTTCTACTTTGTTAATGTGAAATTACTTTCTTTGCGACATTGGTGTCATAAGCATAAGGCTCTTATGCCTGACCAACGGGAGATATTTGGTGTTGCCTTTCTTAAGAAAGGCAAACAATTGTTTGCAGACAACACAAAGGTTCGGGTGATATTAGATAGTAATGCTAGTTATCTTGGTCTCTAGGCTGGTATAGATGAGTAACCCTGTTTTTACTAAAGGTATTTGGAGACCAGTCCCAAATAGGATGAAGCGCGCGTTTTGCGTTCCACGGTTAGCCACTGTCCAAGTTTGCTTATATTGCTTGTGACTGTATGGCAACAGTGGGTAGTTTGCGAATGAGGCACACTTGCCAAAGGAGATTGTTTAGTTGCAGTCCTTATCATCAGTCGTAGGATCCAAACAACCAATTCAAATGAATTAAAATCCGCCCCAGTGACTAACCGGACTTAGTAGCTTAGCGGATAACGCAATAACAGGCGGCACTAGGTTCAAGTGCTGGAAATAACATCAACTCTGTAATGCATGTATAACCAGCTAACGAGTCCTAAATAGGATGCATCGCTCGTCCTGAATTCTGTTGCCAGCCACCTTATAACTCTGATGATAACGTAAGTTATTTATCAACCAGATTTATAAAATAGGCTCTAAATTATACTGTTTATTTAAATGCTATTGATATTACCTGACTTCCCGAAAAAATAAGATGAACCAAGGTTCTTACCTGCGGTTTTATTATTTGAGAGTCAAGTAATCCAAACACATATCTGTTGCTCAAAGACTGATGGTGATACATTAATTCATGCATACGTAGACTGTTACACAAGTTAGTACTAGGAATCACGCATTTAATTATCTTTTTTTACATATTCATATGTTAAATTCACTATATTTCGCTTCTATCGCGTTTCCTACCATCATCAACTGTGTTGACTTTGTTTACCAAACATGATTTGCTTTTTATTACAGGGTCTGTGTTTCCTTATCAATCATTGTCGTCAGTCGTTAAACCTTATATTAATTTAAATCGTGAATAGCACTTTTCTGAAACTTCATAATGACGGTCCTGGGCGAAGAGTGGTTTGCTGTTGGAGACATTTATTTCAGGTACTTGTTGATTTGATTTTTATTGTATTGTAGAAAGCTTCATCTTTACGATATGCCGTGGGGTATGGGATTTTCAATATCACAATTCAAGACATCGATTTGTCAGTATTCTGGTTATATCGGTAGGGATATTTTTACCAGTAGTTTAAGTTCACTTAGCAATGTATTTGGATGGCCAAGCGGGAGCAAAACCTATACTTCAAATATATACATCATCAGGCAAACTCGTTTCCCAAAGTGTTGTGAGTTGATTTCAACTTTATTTGTTAGTTCGGAATTGAATGTGTAAATTTATCTTTTAATTAACATGACAATTAATACTCAGTGTCCCGCAATACTTTCTGTTTGAGATCTTATGGTTAGAAGAAAGTTATTCACACTGTAGCAAATCCAGAAGAAGATAATGTTACAATCCTAAATTTGTACACTAAGACCTAGGTATGGATTCAAAATAACTAATACCAACTGAAAACATTGAAAAAAGAGCCCAGGACAGAGTTGTTTGGAGGATTCTGGTCAGCGGCCTATGCTCACGCGTGGGGTAACAGGCGTAGGCAAGAAATGGGTTCATATTTTTTATCTGACCGTAGAGATGGCCGTGTTTTTAACTGCAGATGTGAGCGTTGAACACGGTTTTTTGATTTGAAACCAAACAAATTACAACAATAGTTGTGTCGTGAAGTGCTCTGAAGTTCACCTGTTTGTAGAAGCCATTAAACATCAATTACAAGATGGAACATAACTATCATTGAAGGGATTACTTGAATATTACTCCTTATAGTGAAGCGCTTATGTAGACTGATCGTTTATTGTTTGACGTACTTGTGTCCATATTCTTAAACATACAGAAGAGACATATATCGAGGTAAATTTTCCATTTTTGAAATAAATATGCACATCAAGTGTACTTATGAGAAAAAACTATCCGGACGAGTTTTATATTAATTTCCTAGCGTGGTTCAAACTAGCCTGTGCACAATTACCAACGTTGACTGGCGGAAAGAGGCTAAAAGAAGTAAACTACGTACAAATTGTTCGCTAAAATGGCTTGCTCAAAAAGCTATAATATTGGATTTTTGTTTTAAAAAAATGCTATATCCAATATATTATTTTCATATAGTTTTTAGATATTAGTTCGAAATTACTGACTAAATCGAGACATTGGTTAATGTGTAGATTTCAAAGGTAAAAGTAGTCTGTTTGATGTGCTAGATTGCAAAGCCCCTTAACTAAAGTGTTTTAAGTTTCACTTCACGGGACCACTTAGTATGTTGACTTATGCATTCTGATTAAATACGATAACCCCATTTGGCTTTGTAAATTGGAGCTTTATTTCTTTTGTCTTCATCAGTACAAAAAGACACTTGGTAATTATTGGTAGAATACTGAACTATTTTTGTGGAGTTTGGAATCTGCCCCTAATAGAGCTGAGTATATCTTTATGAAAGTCATGAACTAATGCATATCTCTTACAAGTCGTACATTTATTATAGCTAAATGAAATCCATGTTCACAATATGTAAGCGAATTTGTTGATTACCATTGCTTAGAACAATTTGAGAAACCCTTGTTGAGATGGTACATCGGCAGGTAGTCATAATATGTCTGTCTTTCCGTGCCAAAATAATTCCCGGCCGTATTGTAAGCTAGAGTAATTGAAAGTACATAAGTTGTTATATTTTTTGATGTTTGATTTTCTGGAAACAGTGATGTAATTAAAAAGTTTTCATTGTTATCACATTTAATAGAAACTGACCCATTGTCACTTGTCCAACTTCTTATCTAGATTTACTTTTCGACATTGAATTCATTCCATAATATGAAAAAATTAAACTTCCTCTTTTTCAGTGGAAAGGTGCACCTGGTATATTGCTTGGTTGGACTTTGTCAGAGGATTTATTAGTTATCCAAAAAACAGGATTCACTACCATATTAGATCATCAGGGCAAGTTTGTTCGACGTTTTAGTATGGGACCTGAAGCTGAAGAAAGAGAAATAATTAGTGCTAAGCTTTTTACCATTGATTATGTAAGTCTTGCCGTATTGATACTATTAGTATGAATTAGTTATTGTTCTCATTTGAAATTTCCGAATCCAGATTTAATAGATGTGTCACGAACTTCTTAATTACTGAATTTTCTGTGAAACAGCGTAACTATTTAACAGAAACAATGTATAGTTAATAGGTTGACAGTTTCTGAATACAATCGTATTAGTGAGCTGTTTTTAGAAATTTCAAATGTCCTACAGTAATTTCATACGTCAAATAGCTCAGTATTATATTATTATTATTATTATTATTATTATTATTATATTATTATTATTATTATTATTATTAGCTTTATTCAATATTATAATTTTGGTACAATATAGAATTCTCAGCACAAAGTATTTCAACAAGTTTCCGTTTCTTTCTTCTTGGTCGGTCCTGGCGATAAATATTGAGGAATCGCCAGTTAGATGTTAGCACTTCAGTGAATGAACAACTGAATAATGTACATTCTTTTCGTTGTACATTGCCAGCAACCATATTGTCTCTTATTGAGTTTTCTGTAACTTTGACAACGAAAGGTTGTACACTTTTCAGAAACGCAGCAGAATAGGTTATGCGATTAATAAACATAATGATATATTAAAACAAACAACAATAGATAACTTGTTGAAATATCTAGATGGCAGGAACAGGTAGCCCAGATGCTCAAGCAGGCCGCCCTAGGGTATATTTACCGAATTGCTAGCTAGAGTTTTGAGAATCATAGACAGGATTTCCATCGCATTATAGCTTGATATAATCTTCAGTTTGCCATAAAACAGCATCAACGAATGTTATCAACCTCTGGCGAAAAGTTATAAAAGGTCAGCTTATTTTATAAATCCTTCCTAAACCAATCAACACTCAGGAATCCAGCTTGGTAATTTCAAAACAATAAACTATTGGACTGGATGCACTAAGTCGTTTCCATCAGGACTGCTTAATTTCTGTGTAAATATGTCATAGCTATGTTAGCAGGTGTGACAATTTTTGAATCTCAACCCATTTTACCAGATATGCAACTGCTTTGTTTGATCAGAAATTTCTGAACATATAAAAAAGAATTGTGCATTGAAACACCACCGAAACAAGTTATGGAGGATTGTTTCCTCTTAACTTATCAGATCTCGAAAGAAGAATCTTTGTGAGTACTGGTTTACTGAGAACGAAAATTATCAACATTCTAAAGCCTCTTACAACTAACATTGACCACCTACAAAGGGTTCCTCTTTTTTTATCCTCCCTTATTTAATTTAGACCAAAGCTAAAAAGTTAGTGTACCTCTAATTTTAACCAGTTTCTGAAACTTTTTATATGCTTCAAACGGTGTGCATAATGGACTTCTAAGGGTGTGAAAATTATAGCCCAACCATCTATGAGCGCGAAATATTGCTAATTTTTGCCTGTTACGTTTTTGGCATGTCCAACGCTTTGTCTTTATTAAAGTCAAATGGTGCCTTCAAATTAGCTATTTGACTTTACCTTCGCTCACTATTTCATAGTCGTAATTAATAATAATTAATTCATGTTAATATATATATATATATATATATATATATATAGAACTTGCTGCTTTCAATATTAATGCAGGACATCTTTTTTTTAGAATACAGGAATAGCTGTTCTTACCGGTGGAAACCACATATATGTAACTACCAGTATCGAAACTCCACGTATGCGACGCCTTGTAGAATTACCTGGACCAGTAAAGTCTTTGTCACATTGGACTATTGTCACAACACCTCTTGAAACTGGAACACCTGATTCTTTTCGAAGCCCATGGGTGATGTTTTCAAACAAAAAGAATTTGTACCGAGCTGACTTTGGAACAGTTGAAGGTGTAAGTACTTCCAAGCTTTGAATTGTCTCAAACCTCACAGTGAATTAGAAAGGGAGCTATTAGTTGTGATGCGTAGGATTACAAAAATAGAAATTATTAAATTAGTTTAATACTCCCATGCACGATGCAGGATTTCAATGAGTACATATTTGTTTAAACATAGTCTGAACCTATGTTTCCTTCAAATTTAACGACCATCGTTTGATATTCATTACTTTCCTAAACCCTGTGTGTAATATTAGTCTTATCTGTTATTTCTGCACCAGTCAATATCAGTCACACTCAATAAAGCGACTATCATTACTACTTTACTCAGGAATCTGCTTGGTACTTGTTTCTTTTTGGAGTTTACTCTCATCAGAATGTCAACTTATTTTACTATAAATGCTCCTTTTCCTTATATTATAGATGTGAATATTAAACTTTGTGACTTTAGTTTACCGTCAATAACTTCGTCTAGCATGACTTCAAGATACTCATCGGTCTATATTCTGGAATGCTATGCTTCTCAAGTGCACACTGTCCACTATTATTTAATAAAACTAAATTAGTTTCTCATTCACCAACCATTTTCCCCACTTGTGTTTTTTTATCACTTAACGTAATTTCTATCGATAAGTAAATTAAAATCAGTTTTATTTTTATCAAACTCCTAAATCATTTAAATATAAGTCCCCCTTATACGATAGAGATGGATTTTAGCAGCCTAAATAATTAGAATTTAATGTCGGTTGCTGACAAAATAGTATCTAAAGCAATTAGTCCCTTTTATAAATTTCGATAGAACAATGAGAAGACGGAGTTGATCTGAAAAATGTGATGTATAGCGCAAATACATCACATTTTTCAGATCAACTCCGTCTTCTCATTGTTCTATCGAAAATAGTATCTATTAAAAAAAACACTCAACTGTTTTCTTCGTCATCTGTCGCTGCGTGTACCCACTAAACAGTCAGTTAATCATAATAAACGTAGAGCCTGGCACAAATATACAGTAATCTAAGACGCTCTATCACGTTGAGGCAGCGAGATGAAGGCAACAAGACGAATTGTGAAAGGCATAATGAAGGATATGAATCGAAAGAAGACAAAAGGAGGAGCAATGATGAATGAATTATGGAGCTTAAGATCTAGAAAGTTAGAGGAAATTCATCTGCACCATTGTCATTGTTTCTAAGCGATGTCATCCAATATGCCCAGCAACTGATCGTAGTTGTTGTTCATAGCCCAGTCAGGCAGTCTGCATCTACCAGCATGGTTCAAATCAGTAACCAGTGTCCTCGTGAACTGATGCCAAGATTTAGTTTGACCACCCCTACTTTTTTTCCAACTTACGTCTACACCAGCTAATATCACGCGTCGAGGTAAGCCATGGCTAGACATGTGCAACACGTTCCAACCACCTCAGATGATGGGAATTCAACATACTAAACAATGTTTTATTCATGAGGTTTTCCTCAAATATATATATTTTTTCTCTACTATCCAGATTGATTTGTCAAAGCTTACTAGGTCAACTGGTTCTGATATTTACCTATTGTCTATATCTTTGAATATGCAATTTGTTGCAATTTATTTAACCAATGGTGAATTGTTAATTACCAATACACGATTTACTGAATTACATTCACATATTGACTTGACCCAACGTATATCAGTTATGTTGGTGAATAATAATAATTCAGCTAATCAAAAATTCAATCATCCCAAAACGATGCTTTGGTTAACTAATTCAGCTGTTGTGCTTCAATGGAATAATTTAATTGCTATTATAAGTACACAGTCAGATATTTATGAAACATTTTATGCTGATGATATATTCTTAGCACAAGAGGTAAGTAATATATCTTATTTGTGTGTGTGGGCAGTATGTGTTTCAATTGACGAGGCTATATTCAATCTTTATTGATTAGCATCGATGTTTTTAGTACTATTAACAACAATACGATTTTCAGTAATAGATTAATTAAGCATCTTAATATCTGCTCGGTACGTATTGATACTTCCGACAGTTGAATGAGTAATCTTAAGATTATTCATTTGTAGTGTTGATGAGTTTGGTCTCTCTTAAAGGTTAAATATCGTGAAATGATGAAAGGTATTTCAAGAATACATATCACATTTCTTGTTTTCTTTCTCAGTCTATTATTCATTACTTCATAACACTAGTAGTTAGTTATCTCATTCTTGATATTAGAGCCTAAATTGTGATCAGTCTTTATTGGTATATCCAGCATATCCTGGCGGTCCATCCAGGCTATCTGAACTCAGTGAATAACCTGTTGGGTGATTAGAGCAACGGTTGTTGTGTAAACAGAAACACTGGAGTAAAAGTACATCCAACTGACTAGCCCAAAGTGGAATGAAAACTACTCCTTACCACAATTCGAAATATGGCTACTTTAGTTCTAGTCATAATTCTGCAGTTTTCAAATAAAATTATTTTTTCATCCCATATTAGAATAGTATCCATGATAAATTTTATTACCAGTGACTGAAAAATAGTTTCATCTTTTACTAAATGTTTCATTATCCGAGGAAATGTGGTTGATTGTGTTGCATCGAAAACTAGATATCAATGGAATGTTTATTTGGTGAAATGAATTAGTTATCAGTCCATTGTATCGTGAAGGAATCAGTTACTATATTACACATTGGTAAAGTATCCAACATTGAGATAAAAACGAAATCCTCTCCAATTCTCCAACTTCTATCAGCTCTTCTAGATGATAGTAATGTTTTATGAAAGCTGTTTTTTTTAAACAAATTCATCTCGATATCATTCAAACTAAATTTCGATTGATGTTGAAATATTCCAATTCTCATCATGTTTTTTCTGTCTTATTTTCTTTATTAACAAACGTACACACATATTGTATCATTAGATTGATGGAATTCGCATTCTATCACCTACATCACACGAATTATTACAACGTGTACCATCCCCATTAGAATCACTTGGACGTATTGGAGCATCGTGTCCAGCCACATGGTTATTGTCTGCAAGTAAGAGTTTAAAAATCAATTGTGGACGTACTAATGATTATTTATTGCCTATTAAACAACCTAATCAAATGATTGATGCAATATCACATTGTATTGAAGCAGCATGTCATGCAACTGTTGATCCTATTTGTCAACAAGAACTACTGGAATCTGCTCATTTAGGTCGAGGATTATTATCAGCTATGATGAATACTACTCCTAATGCTACTATTTCTTCTACCACTGTTACTAACAATAACAATACAGGTCATTATTCAGTTGAGGCTAAATTGAAAGAACTGTGAGTTTGTTTGTTTTCTGCACATAATTACTCAGTTAACGAATTTCTTTTGTTTAAGATAATTCAGTAGGTTGTACAAATACTGTGTTTTAAAAAAAATATGATAGAATAACTTATCAGCGATTGTGATTTTTTGAGCATTATGGTTTAATCGTGAGGCTTTCATTGCCTTCCTCGACAATATTATCTAATTCAAATTGATGTAAGCTTTTGAAATTCCTTACCGACTAGCAGCTTGTTTTTTAAAAAAAATTGAATATGATTAATTGCTCCTGATAATTGTGCTGATACAGTGTCTACATAAAATCATTTCGATAGTTTTTTCCCTTTAGATCTTATTGTTGATTCTGGTTTTGTTTATCATTTTCCGGATTGGTTGGTAAATTGAGTCCCATACTAGGATGAAATAGCCGTCCAATAATTCTGGGTTTCTAATGGTGGTTTAACATTGACCGGTTCATGATTTCAATAAAACTCAACAATCTCCACAACTCTATACTGAAATTGAGTTATCCTCAATACCACTAGTTTCTCGCTTCTACTCCTTATTCTTACCTAAAAAATGTATCGGAGACTTTATAGAATGATTGCATAAATCCACTGAATATTTTAGTGTTACTGAAATTCCCCATGAAATTCAACAGTCGATCGTAGAAGAGTATTTGTTTTGTGTGATTTTAGCCTACTATAAAATCGCTGGAGAATAGTTTTAATAAATCTTGTTTCATTTTTTTTATTTGTCCTGCTTTGATGAGCTTGTTTGTGATCTTAAATATAAAGTTGTCGACATTTTGATTGGATTTCTTGGTGATGACTAATACATACTTTTATTCTTAAGCAATTCAACTTTATTAACGTAGTCGTCTTTGATAGGTATGGATTATCATTAGTCGTACAGTTTGATTTCCACCTTGCTGTTCGGTCATTCTGCTGAAGTGTAACATCGATTGTATGGCACGTAACACAGCCACTTCCGTTGGTACAGGTTCAGAACGTCATAAACAGACTTACCATCATCAGTTATACTTGACACCTCATCGCACATTTCGCACTTGGTTGCTCCATATATTTAGTCCGTGGTAGAAAGACATATGATCAAATACATGACTTAAATCAATCTTCTCATTCTTAGTGGTCAGTTCCAACCTAGGGTACCCCACCGAAATCTGTTGTGGATTTATTTTCCTTCTATTGGCGGTAGGATATATTCCCGACCACTGTTAAGCTGTAAGTTCGTAAATGACTTATTCTAATCTATTAGTTATCCATGACTCATTCAATAGTTTTATTTTCTCCTAAGCCTTAACTGTATCTAGCTAATGTGGTTCAACAGCATATTAATCATGTATTCCAATACTTTAAATTTGCTAATTTTACATAAAAATTAAGTATTACTTTTCGGTTCCATTTGCATCATAATTTTATTGTTTCTTATAGCGCGGATCATGCTGCAAAGGTTTGTCAAACTTTGCGTTTGTTGAATAGCTTAGCTGTTCCATGGTTAGGTATTGCACTAACGTGGCGTCAGTTTCGTGAATTAGCCAAACAAATTGTTTGAACGTTTATGAGTAAGTAAGTAAGTAAGTAAGTAAGTAAGTAAGTAAGTAAGTAAGTAAGTAAGTAAGTAAGTAAGTAAGTAAGTAAGTAAGTAAGTAAGTAAGTAAGTAAGTAAGTAAGTAAGTAAGTAAGTAAGTAAGTAAGTAAGTAAGTAAGTAAGTAAGTAAGTAAGTAAGTAAGTAAGTAAGTAAGTAAGTAAGTAAGTAAGTAAGTAAGTAAGTAAGTAAGTAAGTAAGTAAGTAAGTAAGTAAGTAAGTAAGTAAGTAAGTAAGTAAGTAAGTAAGTAAGTAAGTAAGTAAGTAAGTAAGTAAGTAAGTAAGTAAGTAAGTAAGTAAGTAAGTAAGTAAGTAAGTAAGTAAGTAAGTAAGTAAGTAAGTAAGTAAGTAAGTAAGTAAGTAAGTAAGTAAGTAAGTAAGTAAGTAAGTAAGTAAGTAAGTAAGTAAGTAAGTAAGTAAGTAAGTAAGTAAGTAAGTAAGTAAGTAAGTAAGTAAGTAAGTAAGTAAGTAAGTAAGTAAGTAAGTAAGTAAGTAAGTAAGTAAGTAAGTAAGTAAGTAAGTAAGTAAGTAAGTAAGTAAGTAAGTAAGTAAGTAAGTAAGTAAGTAAGTAAGTAAGTAAGTAAGTAAGTAAGTAAGTAAGTAAGTAAGTAAGTAAGTAAGTAAGTAAGTAAGTAAGTAAGTAAGTAAGTAAGTAAGTAAGTAAGTAAGTAAGTAAGTAAGTAAGTAAGTAAGTAAGTAAGTAAGTAAGTAAGTAAGTAAGTAAGTAAGTAAGTAAGTAAGTAAGTAAGTAAGTAAGTAAGTAAGTAAGTAAGTAAGTAAGTAAGTAAGTAAGTAAGTAAGTAAGTAAGTAAGTAAGTAAGTAAGTAAGTAAGTAAGTAAGTAAGTAAGTAAGTAAGTAAGTAAGTAAGTAAGTAAGTAAGTAAGTAAGTAAGTAAGTAAGTAAGTAAGTAAGTAAGTAAGTAAGTAAGTAAGTAAGTAAGTAAGTAAGTAAGTAAGTAAGTAAGTAAGTAAGTAAGTAAGTAAGTAAGTAAGTAAGTAAGTAAGTAAGTAAGTAAGTAAGTAAGTAAGTAAGTAAGTAAGTAAGTAAGTAAGTAAGTAAGTAAGTAAGTAAGTAAGTAAGTAAGTAAGTAAGTAAGTAAGTAAGTAAGTAAGTAAGTAAGTAAGTAAGTAAGTAAGTAAGTAAGTAAGTAAGTAAGTAAGTAAGTAAGTAAGTAAGTAAGTAAGTAAGTAAGTAAGTAAGTAAGTAAGTAAGTAAGTAAGTAAGTAAGTAAGTAAGTAAGTAAGTAAGTAAGTAAGTAAGTAAGTAAGTAAGTAAGTAAGTAAGTAAGTAAGTAAGTAAGTAAGTAAGTAAGTAAGTAAGTAAGTAAGTAAGTAAGTAAGTAAGTAAGTAAGTAAGTAAGTAAGTAAGTAAGTAAGTAAGTAAGTAAGTAAGTAAGTAAGTAAGTAAGTAAGTAAGTAAGTAAGTAAGTAAGTAAGTAAGTAAGTAAGTAAGTAAGTAAGTAAGTAAGTAAGTAAGTAAGTAAGTAAGTAAGTAAGTAAGTAAGTAAGTAAGTAAGTAAGTAAGTAAGTAAGTAAGTAAGTAAGTAAGTAAGTAAGTAAGTAAGTAAGTAAGTAAGTAAGTAAGTAAGTAAGTAAGTAAGTAAGTAAGTAAGTAAGTAAGTAAGTAAGTAAGTAAGTAAGTAAGTAAGTAAGTAAGTAAGTAAGTAAGTAAGTAAGTAAGTAAGTAAGTAAGTAAGTAAGTAAGTAAGTAAGTAAGTAAGTAAGTAAGTAAGTAAGTAAGTAAGTAAGTAAGTAAGTAAGTAAGTAAGTAAGTAAGTAAGTAAGTAAGTAAGTAAGTAAGTAAGTAAGTAAGTAAGTAAGTAAGTAAGTAAGTAAGTAAGTAAGTAAGTAAGTAAGTAAGTAAGTAAGTAAGTAAGTAAGTAAGTAAGTAAGTAAGTAAGTAAGTAAGTAAGTAAGTAAGTAAGTAAGTAAGTAAGTAAGTAAGTAAGTAAGTAAGTAAGTAAGTAAGTAAGTAAGTAAGTAAGTAAGTAAGTAAGTAAGTAAGTAAGTAAGTAAGTAAGTAAGTAAGTAAGTAAGTAAGTAAGTAAGTAAGTAAGTAAGTAAGTAAGTAAGTAAGTAAGTAAGTAAGTAAGTAAGTAAGTAAGTAAGTAAGTAAGTAAGTAAGTAAGTAAGTAAGTAAGTAAGTAAAGTATCTCCAGTACCGGATAGCATTGCACCTCGTGGTAATCGGTGTTCAGGCATACGTAACACGTGGCCCAACCATCTCAGTCGATGAAGATTCATAACCTCATCAACTGATTTACCATCATTACCTAATACCCTGCGTCTAACCTCACTATTACTTACCCGGTGATCCCAGCAGATGCCAGCAATATTTCTAAGGCATCTGTGGTGTTGGTACCCTTCACTATGAACTACACATATTAGGTGATGGATCGTACGTTTAGACAAAAGTATCTTCAGTGTTATAAGATGTGTCTTTTAGGATTACAATCCAGATCACAATACTCCAACATAGTTTTCAGTAGAATAAACTAATTAACTCATATTTGAACAGCAGAGTCTTTATAGTACATTGCTTGTCAATCGGAGAAACCATATTGATTTATTGCTCGTGATTGGTTAACTGGCTAGTCACATTACACCATGTCGTAGATCTGTCTAGCGTGATTGCGCCTGATTGCTTCGAATATACTGACCTCTGACACCAATCTCTTCTGAAGACATTGTTATGCAATGTTCTCTTCAATCCAACATTATAGGGGTTAACGTCTGGCTTATCAGTTGGGAAGGTATTAGTTAGTTAGCAGCAGTGACATCTATTAGCGACTTAAACCACAGAGTTTCAAAGAACCAGTGGATTTCTTCAAAGTCTATCACACTGATGGATTCTCGCAAACTCGTCCCATCAGGTTCCGAACATGATGAAGAGCGACAACAAATCAGATCTAGGTTAAGAAAAAGTCTAAGAAACGACCGTGAGCAGTGGTGGGCAACGAAAGCAAAAGAGATGGAAAAGGCGGCGACTATAGGGAACACAAGACAGCTTTACAGACTAATAAAAGAAACTGGAATTAATAAGTCAAGTGTAAGTGAGATTATATCGGAAAAAGACGATACACTCATCTGCTCCCAGTCCAGGCGTTTAGAACGATGGGCGGAACATTTCAGAGAACAGTTCAGCTGGCCTTCAGCTACTCTACAACTACCCTCCATTCCCAGACAGTGTGAATGGAACATTGAAGTAGGTCCCCCAACTCTTGCTGAAGTTCAAAAGGCTATAGTTAATCTAAAACGAGGAAAGGCAGCTGGTCCAGATGGATTGGCTCCAGAGGTCTTTAAGGATGGTGGTCCAATTTTAGCGATTAGGTTGACTAATATTTTAGCTAAAATCTGGAAGTTAGACGTTATTCCATCTAACTGGTCACAATCACTTATCGTCCCAATATATAAGAAAGAGTCAAAATCATCCTGTGACAACCACAGAGGGATTAGTTTAACTAATATAATATCTAAAATACTAGCCTCGATAATTATCAGACGCCTAACTAAGACTCGTGAACTGCAAACACGAGAGAACCAAGCTGGCTTTAGACCTGGTCGTGGCTGCACCGACCACATATTCACCATTCGTCAGATTCTCGAACACAGGCATACTTATCGGTGTCCGACAATGGTGGTCTTTCTCGACTTAAAAGCAGCATTTGACTCGGTAGACCGCGAGATTCTGTGGCAGTGTCTGTCATTGAAAGGCGTACCCCAGAAGTACATAAACCTTGTGAAGGCTCTTTACTCGAACACTACTAGTCGAGTCAGAGCTTATGGCGAACTGTCATCTGATTTTGCAACCTCAAGTGGTGTCCGTCAAGGCTGTCCACTTTCCCCATTTTTGTTTAACTTCATCATAGATCTACTGATGGAAATAACTTTCTCGTCGACTGAATTCTCGGGTATTGATCTCCTACCAGGAGGTCCACTTATCGACTTAGAATACCCAGATGACATAGTCCTGTTTGGTGAAGACGCTGACAAAATGCAGAGTCTTCTGGTAGCACTGAGCAACAATGCCAGGATGTTTGGAATGCGCTTCTCTCCCTCTAAATGCAAGTTGTTGCTTCAGGACTGGTCTGCGTTAACACTTGAACTAAGGATAGGGAGTGAAGTAGTCGAACGCGTTGACAACTTCACTTATCTTGGAAGTCTGATCAGCCCTAATGGGTTGGTATCGGACGAAATCTCAGCACGGATTCGAAAAGCTCGATTGGCTTTTGCCAACTTGCGCCACCTATGGCGAAGGCGAGATATCCGTCTATCAATAAAAGGACGAGTATACTGCGCGGCAGTCCGTTCTGTTTTAATTTACGGCAGCGAAACATGGCCATTAAGAGTAGAAGACACTCGTAAGCTATTAGTATTTGACCACAGATGCCTTAGAAATATTGCTGGCATCTGCTGGGATCACCGGGTAAGTAATAGTGAGGTTAGACGCAGGGTATTAGGTAATGATGGTAAATCAGTTGATGAGGTTATGAATCTTCATCGACTGAGATGGTTGGGCCACGTGTTACGTATGCCTGAACACCGATTACCACGAGGTGCAATGCTATCCGGTACTGGAGATGGTTGGAAGAATGTTAGGGGCGGCCAAACTAAAACGTGGCATCAGTGCTTGAAGTCACTAACTTCTAGTCTGAGTCATGTTTGGAGATGCAGACTACTTGGTTGGGGTCCGCGTGACTATCGTAACCAATGGTTGGAGACTCTTGGTGACATGGCTCAGAATCGATCACAATGGCGTCGGTGTATACACTCCCTGTCTTCCCTTAAACTAAGAGATTAAAATTGCTTCATATCTTTCTTTCTACGAACCAATTCTTTCTTCTTGTACTATATCTCTATATGCAATCTTTCTGTTATATATTACCACCTTTGACCTAACCACTTCTATGAATCCAGTGTGCATCTTGTTGTGCTGATGCGGTATGGCAACCTGGACCGATGCACATATGTGCCTGGTCCTACGTTGTAGCTGACTGACTGACTGACTGGTATTAGTTTGTATTGCTCATGCGTCAATAACCGTACATGGAAATTAAGTTGGAATTCACCCATCTAGCTTTAAAGTTGGGTTGAAATCCTACTTCATAGTGATTTTGTACGTAACCAATGCTTGGACACAATGTATGATATCTGACTATTAGGATGATCATTAGATTTATCAGCCTAATATTTATTGTTATTCGGTAACATTTATTTACGTAAGTAGCTTGAACGACTAGGGGTACCTATTGTGTGGCACGTTTCTTTATTATAAATTTCTGTTCATTATTTACAAGGGGTTGCATTGTTTATTACTGCTCATAATTTTTAGAGAGGGGTATATGATTGGAATAACGGAACCCCGTCGTGTTGCTGCGATATCTATGGCACATCGAGTCGGTGAGGAACTAAATTTGACGTCTGGGTATGTTTACAGCATATCATAAATTGATGTATCCTGATAATCTATGACAAAAAATTCCTGTTTATATAATTTAACTAGATGGTAGTCTCTCATAAATCCAGTATAGCTGTATTTTTGTAGCAAATAGGTGTACTGGTCTCAGATTGTCACTTTGTAGGTATTTAATATTTGTTTTCTCAACAGCCTCAATCACATGTAATACTGGTTTTCCCTATTTCAGTCCGCGTTGGATATTTTCAGTCTTCAAGCTAATACCAAATAATACGTAACTCTTAGTAGTATCCTATTGTTCAATGTTAAAAGTAGGAAACTATGTTAGTATTATTGATTGGTTGAAGTTCACTCACCGGTGGTTGAAATTCTTGACCCCTATTAATGAAAATCTATGGCTATGATTAGAAGTATTTATGAATAAGTGATTGGTTAACTTAGGTTTCAAAATTTGTGCTCATGTGTTTTAGAACAAGCATTTTGTTGCTTGTAAGAACTTGTTGATTAACTGTAAACTGTGCATTGTTGTAATCTGATTAGTAAACTGTTTTGATTGGATGTCAAAATTTACGTTTTTATATTTCAATCCTACCTTTAAAAAAATCCGTTAGATGATCCCATCGTCGTTGAATTTAAAATTGTATCTTGTGAAAAAAACCCACATCAAACCATATTGTACCACTGAATGTCAAAAGATATTGAGATAAAAAGAAAATTTTCTCATTGATCACGTAAAAATGGAACTGAATTTGTTCAGTTATGTAGACTGAAGTTGTCACTGATTGTTATAAGCAAAAGACTACGCATGTCATTAAAAGTAAACTCGGGAACATTGATAACTATTTCTCGAACACGACACAGATTTGTAATTACAATGATTATTATTGTATCTGAAAATCAAGTTTTATTTATTTATTTGACCACATAAATATTGGTACAAGAGGGCACCAAATATATATGCGTGACACCATATTTGTGTGCGTGGGCTGTGATACTGCCCGGGTGCCCAGACCGAAGCAGGTGGTTTTTTTAGTGGGCCACACCCCGAGCCTCTGACCTAAAGGTCTGGTCCACAAAGCAGTAGAGCATCGTAAGGAGATGCAGTCCCATGGTAGCCGGTGACCAACGATTGGTTCATACGTCATTTGTTCCTTCAGGATACTGGAGCCCATGTGCACCATTGGTTTGGGATCCTGTTAAAGCGCCGGACATTCGGTTCTCGTCCTCTCTATTTCGTAAACAGCACCCCCGCCACGAGAAGGCAATGAGTAGGACTTCCCTGACAGAGACTGTAAACGTGTGGCCGTGTGAGGATATTTCGAGAGGGAGAGCGAACTCTCCCCGCTCTCGGCCAGGGCATTTGGGGGCCATTACACTTCTGTAATTGCGTCACATTTTGGATAATGGGATCCAGGGAATTGCGGTTGTTGGTTCCTACCACAAAACGAATGACAATAACCTTTCCAACATAGTTTTAAAGAACTGTTTCCCTGTTTAACTAACTCAGCCAAGAAGCCAGAAAAGGCTGTATTCAATAATCCAGTGTATGTTAGAAAGACGATGTAATTCTGTTCATAATTCCGCTCATAACTTGGTTTATGGAAGGACGCCTCAAACACCTTTGACGTTTTCAGCAACACCCGAGCCTCATATCGAATCCTCCAATTTTATGGAAGGAGAAATGACAGGAATTCAGTTTGTAAATTGTACCAATTATCGAACGAACATGGATTTGGACGCAACGTTAAGTTTTGAAGTTGAGGATGATGTTGCATCACTGAAATCTGAAGGATTCAGTGTCAGAGACAAAAAACATAGACGATGATGTTGATTTCAACGGACTGCTAAATAAGTTAGCAAAAGGGCTTAACTGAGTTAAATGAGGATAAACTCGATTGCATGTGAGTTGCTATAATAGCTCCCCCCTGCAAACAAAAATATATGGAAAAATGTCTGTGTTTGCACAAAAAATAGTAAACTGAATAGGGTAGTTACAATCGTTTGAAAAAAATGGCTTATACAAAATTAAGATAAAGTTAGTGTGCGCTGTACATTTGGTTTGTGCCCGTCCGTGAGGTTACATAAAATACTAGCAAGAAATAGAAGGAATGCGATATTGTTTTTACATTTTAAACAAAAATTATACGTATAAGCGTAAGGGTACATAAGATACGTTGAGTTTTATAGCGTATAACATGAGCTTAATAATGCATGTGTATACAATGAAGTGGAAGTTATAATTAATATTTAAAATAGTAGAAAATTATTAATAGAAAATTGTAGCGACATAATGTTGGGGCCATCTTACTCTGCGGCCAGATCTTTTTATCGGAGTCTTGTCTTTTTGTTGCGTTAACATCGTCGATTCTTAGGACTCGTGCTTCGCTGGTGTGACCATCTTAGAGGAGTCTATACTTGTTGATTGAATATCGCTATCGATAAAAGCTGGCTTCATTCGATCGATGCTGATTACATCTGTCTTCCCAGCTTTCTCTATGGTAACCGTTTTATCTGTCCTCTCTATCACTTTAAATGGGCCGTCGTAACTCGGTTGTAGAGGTGGTCGTACTTTATCTCTTCTAATGAATACGTGAGTGCTGTTATGCAGTTCCTGTGGTATGAATACTCTTCGTTGTTGTGTTCTGGGAGGTGTTATTTTTAAATCGCTCATGTGCTTTCTCAGGCGTTGCACATAGCCGGTTACATCGGTCGGAACACCTTTACTTGAAGTGAAAAATTCTCCGGGTAACCGTAGAGTAGTTTCATATACCAACTCGGCTGGACAACATCCCATGTCTTGTTTAATTGTTGCTCTTAGAGCTAACATTACTAGAGGAAGCTTATTGACCCAATCGTTGTTAACAATGATGGCTGTAAGAGACTCTTTTAATTGCCTATGTAGGCGTTCGACCATTCCGTTTGCCATTGGATGGTACGATGTCGTTCGAATTCGTTTAATACCGAGGAGTTCTGTAAGCTGTTGAAAGAGTCGACTATCGAATTGTGCTCCTCTATCAGTTGTGATAATCGTTGGTACACTGTAGTAAGAAATCTAATTTTCAACTAGGGTTTTGGCTACCGATTCAGCTGAGGTGTCTTTTATCGGTATTGCTACCGGCCATCGTGTAAACCTGTCGATGCATGTAAAGATATAATTGTATCCATTTGAAACAGGCAGTGGTCCTACAATATCGGTGTGTATATGTCCAAATCTAGTGCCTGGGTGTGAAAACGGACCCACTGCAGCGCTAGTATGACGATGTACTTTGACTTTTTGGCACTTCATGCATGCTTGTGTCCAATTACGTACATCGTGATTCATGTTTGTTCATACGAATCGTTTACTAATCAGCTTTATCGTGGCTTTTATTCCTGGATGTAACATGTGCATGCTTTCGAATATTTTCTGTCGCAACGTTTTCGGGATTAAATGATCGCGGTCGGCCTGTCGATGTGTCGCATATTACTTTCGTGTTACCGAATTGCACCCCTTCGAGTACTAATAATGTTGTACCATCGGATCTGAGTTTATTTAACTCAATGTCTCTCTCCTGCAACTTTGCCAGACCGTTATAATCAATTCCATTTGCCATAAGTGTGCTTATGGTTGCTCTTGACAGTGCGTTGGCCACATCGTTTTCTTGTCCCTTAACGTATCTTATGTCGGACATGAGCTGTGAAATGAACTCGAGCTGTCGGATCTCTCTCGGGGAATAATTGTCTTGCTTTGCACTTAATGCTTTCGTTAGTGGTTTGTGGTCTGTATAGACGGTAAAATTTATGCCTTCGACCATATGACGGAAGTGTTTTATTGCTAAGTAAACTGCTAGGAGTTCTCTTCCGAAAGTACTATATCTTGTTTGTGTTGGATTCAGTCTTTTCGAAAGAAATGAGAGCGGTTCCCATATGCCATTTACTAATTGTTGTAAAACGACCCCTACCGCTACATCTGATGCATCCGTCATGATAGCTAATGGTGTCTCACTCGTTCGTCTGTTTAGTGTCGCTTCTTTATTTAGTGTTTTTTTTTAGCGTGCTCGAATGCTTGAGTCGCGTCTGGTGATAATTGGAATATCCGTGCGTGTCCGCGTAACGCATCTTTTAATGGTTGCAATATTGACGCACAATTCGGGATAAATCGTCCATAATAATTTTGTTGTAACGTGTGGACTGCAGGTTATATGCGCAGCGTTTTATCGATCGACTCAGTGACACGTAAACACGTAGTGGACGACCTAGCGTCCTGATTGGCCCCGCTTCCCTGTCTAGCCCAGTCAGTTGAGTCTAGAACGCAAGTCACAGCCTCTGAGTTATGAATCATTATATTTTCAGACATACTCTATTTATATACCAAACAAACAAACCACATCGTACCATAAAATAGAAAACAACATTTACACAATATTTAACGAGTGAAATAAATATCGACCAATAGGGAGTGTACATTTAAAGTCCAAGGTCACCGTTAGACTTACATGATAACTATTGGTATATTCCTCTGCATACCTAACAAATTTATTAACCCGAGAAATCGGCGTAACATTTCCCATGAGTCAGGTAGCGTATAATTCCTAATAGCGTCGACTTCTGTTGCTATTGGTGTGATGCCTTGAGAAGTTATATTGTGACCTAGGAACTGTAAGGACTTTTCCAAATTCACACTTCTCAATGTTTATAGAAATGCCATGTTCTCTGAGTCGCATAAATAATTGCCGTAGTTGTTGTATATGCTCATCTTTAGTGGCGCTAGCTACTAATAAATTGTCGATAAAGGCGTATACCCCAGGTAAGCCTCTAATGACCTGGTCGATAAACCGCTGAAAGGTTTGTGCCGCGTTAGTCAGTCCAGAAGGCATACGCAGGAATTCATATGGCCCAAATGAGGTTGCTACCACAGTCTTCGGTATGTCTTGTAAGGCAACAGGGATGTGGTAACATGCTCTGACTCAGTCGATCTTCGAGAAGACAGTATAGCGACTCACGAGCAATTGAGTTTATTCTCATTTAACTCAGTTAAGCCCTTTTGCTAACTTATTTAGCGGACAAATTCATCGATACTATAACAACTTGTTGTACTTTTATTATTATTGTACTTATGTGAAATATGTGTGAATGAACATTGTTTACCACCTACGCGTATATTCATTCTGCAAACTTCATTACTAACTGCTTAATCTATTCGTTGACTCATCCATTTCCTTATATATATGTACATTTACACTTACTACTACTACTACTGCTACTACAATCGTAGTTCGCTTACACATTCGTTTTGCCTCTGTTATGTGGTCCGAATTATCTGCTAATAAAACTGTAGTAGCTGCTTCTTTTTACATTCTGATTTCAAACACCGTTGAAGATTATACGACAACGGTTCGAGGGCGATTAGTTACCGAAGCACAGCCTCTACAGAACTGGTAATCTCGACGTGAGAACAGGAAGCGAATTTCGACGAAATAATCAAATCCCAAAAATCTGACGCACTTCATCTCAATTTGGATTACCATATGAACTATAATTACAACTGTGGATTTATATTACTATTTTAATTACACTGACATTATTTCACAAACAGTATTAAACGTGACGATCATAATCATAATAAATAACGATTATTCATAAACAATTGGTATATTGGTGCAACTTAGTAAGTCTGTTCCATTTTATAAATTGTACCATTTTTTTATTATCATTGTTTTTGCCCGTCTATTTTTCCTTATGACAGTTACATTATTTTCGTGTGCTACTTTATTTTTTATAAACATGTCTTACGAAAACACAGTGTCAAGCGTACAGCAAACCTCGTCCGTGAGGTCTCTTAACCTTCCTGTCCCTTCTTTTAAAGTCACAGACCCGAAACTTTGGTTTATAAGACTCGAAAATTATTTCCTCGCTAACCGCATTCTCTTGCAAAAGGATAAATTCGGCCTCACAAGCACACTACTCCCAGATGAAGTAGCAGACAGCGTTCGAGAGGCATTAGCGAAACCAGACACTGAAAAACCATACGACGCGCTAAAAGAGGCAGCAATTAAAACCCTCTCTCTCAGTGACCAGCAAGCTGTCTAACAGCTCCTTAACCAAGTACAAATTAGAGATAGAACCCCGTCACAACTAAAAAATTATATGAAAAGTCTACTCGGAGATAGGCACATTGACAATAACCTCTTTTATCAACTGTGGCTCCGCCGACTCCCGACAAATATACAACAGATCCTAGCTGTGGGAGATACGAACGCTGATTTAGACAACATAGCAAAGATAGCTGATAGAATGTAGTGTCAGTTATTATGCCAAGCCCATATACCTTATTCGAGCTTTCGGACATCCCATTCTATTCATTTTACTTGAGCCATACATTGACCTTGTTATTTATTCGCTTATCAATCTAGACTGTTTTTATATGAGCGTATATGTATGTGCCCTTCTTATTCCATTAATCACATGTCTGTAGCTTTATTTTGTCTGACTATAAATATTGAGTAACGCTTGACAAAGATGGAGTTGGCTTCCCAGCCATCTTCCCTGTGTGTCATTTTGCTTTGCTATGTTTCATTCGTTTCATGTACGAAATATATGTATTCTCAAGTCAATTCTCGTTATTCGACATATTTAATTCCGTTATTGGATAACGCGATTTAAGTCGACGATGATATACGAGAATCAGCGATAGCAAACATCTATACGATCTTGGAGTCAGATCAATGGGCCACTAAAAGAATATACGAGGGTGATTAGTTATCGAAGCACAGCCTCTACAATAGTAGTGCCCTCTATACTGTAGCTGAAATCGTGGATGTGCGGTATAGTAAACAGTAGCTGACAGATACGCTATACCGCACATTCACGATTTCAGCTACAGTATAGAGGGCACTACTATTGTAGAGGCTGTGCTTCGATAACTAATCACCCTCGTATATTCTTTTAGTGGCCCATTGATCTGACTCCAAGATCGTATAGATGTTTGCTATCGCTGATTCTCGTATATCATCGTCGACTTAAATCGCGTTATCCAATAACGGAATTAAATATGTCGAATAACGAGAATTGACTTGAGAATACATATATTTCGTACATGAAACGAATGAAACATAGCAAAGCAAAATGACACACAGGGAAGATGGCTGGGAAGCCAACTCCATCTTTGTCAAGCGTTACTCAATATTTATAGTCAGACAAAATAAAGCTACAGACATGTGATTAATGGAATAAGAAGGGCACATACATATACGCTCATATAAAAACAGTCTAGATTGATAAGCGAATAAATAACAAGGTCAATGTATGGCTCAAGTAAAATGAATAGAATGGGATGTCCGAAAGCTCGAATAAGGTATATGGGCTTGGCATAATAACTGACACTACATTCTATCAGCTATCTTTGCTATGTTGTCTAAATCAGCGTTCGTATCTCCCACAGCTAGGATCTGTTGTATATTTGTCGGGAGTCGGCGGAGCCACAGTTGATAAAAGAGGTTATTGTCAATGTGCCTATCTCCGAGTAGACTTTTCATATAATTTTTTAGTTGTGACGGGGTTCTATCTCTAATTTGTACTTGGTTAAGGAGCTGTTAGACAGCTTGCTGGTCACTGAGAGAGAGGGTTTTAATTGCTGCCTCTTTTAGCGCGTCGTATGGTTTTTCAGTGTCTGGTTTCGCTAATGCCTCTCGAACGCTGTCTGCTACTTCATCTGGGAGTAGTGTGCTTGTGAGGCCGAATTTATCCTTTTGCAAGAGAATGCGGTTAGCGAGGAAATAATTTTCGAGTCTTATAAACCAAAGTTTCGGGTCTGTGACTTTAAAAGAAGGGACAGGAAGGTTAAGAGACCTCACGGACGAGGTTTGCTGTACGCTTGACACTGTGTTTTCGTAAGACATGTTTATAAAAAATAAAGTAGCACACGAAAATAATGTAACTGTCATAAGGAAAAATAGACGGGCAAAAACAATGATAATAAAAAAATGGTACAATTTATAAAATGGAACAGACTTACTAAGTTGCACCAATATACCAATTGTTTATGAATAATCGTTATTTATTATGATTATGATCGTCACGTTTAATACTGTTTGTGAAATAATGTCAGTGTAATTAAAATAGTAATATAAATCCACAGTTGTAATTATAGTTCATATGGTAATCCAAATTGAGATGAAGTGCGTCAGATTTTTGGGATTTGATTATTTCGTCGAAATTCGCTTCCTGTTCTCACGTCGAGATTACCAGTTCTGTAGAGGCTGTGCTTCGGTAACTAATCGCCCTCGAACCGTTGTCGTATAATCTTCAACGGTGTTTGAAATCAGAATGTAAAAAGAAGCAGCTACTACAGTTTTATTAGCAGATAATTCGGACCACATAACAGAGGCAAAACGAATGTGTAAGCGAACTACGATTGTAGTAGCAGTAGTAGTAGTAGTAAGTGTAAATGTACATATATATAAGGAAATGGATGAGTCAACGAATAGATTAAGCAGTTAGTAATGAAGTTTGCAGAATGAATATACGCGTAGGTGGTAAACAATGTTCATTCACACATATTTCACATAAGTACAATAATAATAAAAGTACAACAAGTTGTTATAGTATCGATGAATTTGTCCGCTAAATAAGTTAGCAAAAGGGCTTAACTGAGTTAAATGAGAATAAACTCAATTGCTCGTGAGTCACTATAGTGTAATGGAAGAGATGGCCGTGTCGTAACTTGGTATTACGGATAAAATGGTAAGTTGATATTTCACTTACTCTATGACGATCGAACGTTTCTCATTTTTCAAGATGTGTTACGGAAGATGGCATACGAGACTGGGAAGATGCAAAACCGCGGATGTTGACGGAGTATGGAGTTAGAACCGAATGACCATCTTAAGGACCATGCAGAACTTGATTTTATTGTTTTGTTTTCTTTCGTTAAATAGCGTGACTACTTAAGTCGATGCACGTATGTTTATATACATGTACTGTTCATATTTGATAAGAACTGTTTACCTACATAATGATGTCAGCAATTTTTATATCCAACTTATGTCCATGTCTTCACTGTTAATTAGAGTATCGCAGTAATTATCTTTCAGGGTAAGTCACTAGACTTAATCCGAAAATTTTAAGTTAACACTACTTTCTTTCTTATACCATTCAGACAAGTTTCTTATCATATACGATATGATAAAGAAGTAACCAAAGAAACGTTGATAAAGTTTATGACAGACGGGATATTGTTACAAGAAATAAAACAGGTAATTCTCAGTGTTATTGTTACATAAATTTCGCTGGTTGAACAACTTTGTCTTTTTAAGCATTTGATTTGCATTCATGTAATCTACCTGTAAAAATTGTTTTACTCACAGATTATTTACCTTAACCCAAACATATCACCGACAGGATAAACTACTAGCAAATCTATAATTCAAACACTGATAGCGTTAGCTTTCATTGTCGCTTTCTGTAAGTGGAAGTAAAATTAACCTACTGTCGTGATTTCAGATCGAGTCAATTGAAGAAAACAGATAAACAGGCTGCATAGTATTGTGATATATAAATTTCCAAAGAAAGAAATGTCATTATTTTATCAATTATGAAAAGGAAAGCATTACTGTTTTTTCAAATGGTATTTTGTGTCAGTTACATCTTACATTATGTAAATTATATGTATAAACATTTTAAAACTGTGGTCACATAGTTTGACGTAAGCTGATTTCGTTGCAACTTTTTCATCGAGTAGACTTTATGAGCAGAGGTTTTCTTGTACAGTATTCTTTTAAGGATTAGCATATAATTTACTTTAAAAAATATCTCATTTCTGCTCAGGATTACGTAGATTTAAGGTAACTATTAAAAAATACATTCTAAATATTATTGAAAAGGGGTTTTGTGATAACCTTAATGGTCAATGAAAAATGTTAAGATAATTTTCCACTTGATAAATATGAAAAGCAGAATAACCCAATGTTGTAAGAATGACTAAATACTTATGAAGAAATAACTAAAAAGCAGTAGACAAAACGACAGATTGTGAAAGACAGGAAGGAGTACGTCTTGTTTTCATTATTATTATCTTATAATCTTCAGTATGGGTCTCCATAAGTTTTGTTTATTTTCAATTTTAATCTCATACATTTTATTTGATAACAAGTTTACTTCAATAAACTTAAGACTAACAAAATAATTGTGAATTGTATACGTTGTATCAACTTTATTTCTTTTTGCTAAAACACATTTTTCTATTTTAAACTTTGTCAAGGACTTTGAACTATCAAAATATTCTGTCATAATTGTGGATGAGGCTCATGAACGTTCAATTTACTCTGATGTTATTCTTGGTCTTATAACAATGGTAGTACGATTACGTCGTCAAAGGTTTACCGATAACATACCAACAAATGGTAAAGTACTTTCACCACTGAAATTGATTATCATGTCTGCAACTTTAAAAGTAGACGATTTTGCTGAAAATCGTCGTTTATTTCCACACAATCCGCCTCCAGTAATTCATATCGAATCACGTCAGTATCCTGTAGCATGTCATTTTGCCAAAGTAACACATCCAGATTATCTGAAGGCCGCATTTCGAAAGGTGAATGATTGCATTTATGTGTAACCTGTATTACGGATTGATACGACAGCGTGATACCACTTCTGACTATAACTGAATATGTGTAAAACATGTCTCAGTTGCCCCATTCAGTGAATTTTATAGTCTCATTAGACAATTTACCAAATTCGTTTATTACTATATATATATATAACTTCTGCATTGATTACTAAGTAATTTGCTCGTGCACAACTAATCATACAAAATAACAGTCAAATGCTTACAACATATACTTACCCACAATCTTCAAATTATATATTACACTAATAAAGTAATATACTTTAAACTACCCACCTTTTGATTGACAGACCGAACACCTTAATTGAGTCACATGTATCACAATAAGGTTAAATAAGCAATGATTTGGTTATAGTAATTATCATTTATAAACTTCGTCTTTTTGCTGTGTCCCATTACTTTGGTAAAAGCAGCATATTTCTGAAGTGGATACACAAAATTCGTAAGCAACATTAAGGTGCACTTTTTACGAAGACTGTCGGTACTTCAGTGTATAGAAACGTTTGGTTTATCATAACCTTTTACTGTTTCAATAAATCCGTACTAATGTTTAATCAAGACATTATTTTAGAAATTCGCCGTATTCTATGAAGTATCATAAGCAATGAGTGCCATTTAATAATTGTTAGATCACATATTTTTTATTTAAAAAGCTCCCATACTATAAAATACATCAAATTGACTTGTTTTATTAATCTCCTATGCATATCACTAACTACTGATTAACATTGCCACTCATAAACTTTTATTTCATCAGGTTGTATCAATTCACAAGACTTCACCACCTGGTGGAATTCTTGTATTTGTCACTGGTCAGCAAGAAGCAAATACACTTTGCAGTTGGCTTACAAGGGCTTTTCCAAAGATGGATGATCAAAAAGTAAATTTAACAAATGAAAAATCTAATAAAGCTCATAAACACCAGAAAGAAACGAAGAAATTAAAAGAGTCTGTCAATGCAACGGCTCCCTCAAATTCATTAGATAGTACCGTTTTAGAAGAAAAAGACCAGTTTAACTCAGGCATAGATCTGAACAAGTGAGTTAAAATACAATCCTGATTATTTACAAAAAGACTGACTACTATGAACAATAAACAAATAATAACTATGAATACGAATGAACAGTTTAAGTAAATGATTTCATCGAAAAGAAAATTTTCTTCGCAAAATTCCTTATTTTTACTCAATGACACAATGGGTTATTCTAATTAATCATTTAACTATTAAGTATTATGATTGAAAGTATGTGATCATATTAACGCAATTTATCTAGATTGGTAATAATTACAGACCTACATAGATGTTTCTTTCCAGCTGTTTGCACTTTTGATCCAACTATTCTATGCTACATATTTACTACGGTTCATATTCCGTCTCCCTTACATTCTCATCATTGTAAACCTTTTTTAGTTACTTTTAAACTCTACATTTTTTGCATATTTGGATTACACTATCATCCGATGATCGTATTAATAGTATTGTTCGAAAATGAACTATTCACTTTACAGTTTATTCGTAAGTTTGCTAACCGGCGGTTTAATTTTGACTTTCAAGGTTGACTTTCGAATTAACAGGGCATAACACTCGGTAGAATAACAGGTCTTATTTTTATCAAATCCGTAAGACATTTTATTCCATCTGGTTTATCAACACAATACGGTTGGTTACCAGTGGACATTTTATTATTTCCAAGTGGCATAGTTTCGTACGTAGTGTAAAGTCTTAAGTATTGTTATTTTTCAAGTCATTTTACATGTCGTTTTTACTCCAGTTTTTGCCAATAATCTACTTATCAATATAAGGTTGTGGAAATTGTTGAGTTTCATTGAAATACCCACAGAAGGCAATAGAAGGTGGTTGCGCAATGTCGTAGACTGACTAATAAAGTTTGACATGTACACCATCGGACACTAGCTCAGTGGTCTAGAGGTTAACCGTTCGCGAGTGAGACTGAAGATCCTGGGTTCGATTTCTGGCTGTGGGGTCATGGGTGACCATTGCTAAAGGATCTCGAACTAGTGCGAAACGGCCGTCCAGTCCTTCCATGTTTCCAACGATGGTCTAATTTTTGTCGGTTCATGATCTCAATTAAATAATCTACTTGATTTTTGGTTGATAAACTGTACCATAGCTGTTTGTGTTACCATTAGTCTTTTAAGTAATATATATTTCTATAAAGTTAGTATTTACTTAATTATTAATGAACATATAAATTTGTGATTATCTGCATATTTCCCCTTTTAGCTTTGATATTATTCCTGTTGATGAAGAAACGGAAATTGGTCATACTCGAATTAATTCTAAAGAAGTTATTTCAACGAAAGAAAAACAGTCGAATAAAGTTACTTATGAGACGGTGAATGATAGTGATGTTGAAGAGATTGGTGAAGATGATGATATACTCGGGCAAATTAATGAAATTCGTAATGAATCTTATCCGGTAAGTTCAGGTTGATGTATGATTGATTGAAATGATAATACAAGTGAACAAAGAAATTAATTAGATATCAGACTGTAGTGTTTATCACGAATGAGAAATCCATGACAGGTACTTCGTCATGCTGACAGAATCTTATTTGATTATGAATTGCTTGTACTCTGTATAATATATATTCTATTTTGTAACTAAAAGTCATTCTTATTGTTGACCGGACTTAGTACAGTACTTTAAACAAAAACCAGTTTATCACATGTAAGCACGTTGTATCAAAGTGTCTACTGTAAAATATTCTACTGGATAATTTAATAATATGATTTAATAGTATTTTTTTGTTTGATTTAAGTTGGCCTACTGTATTTGTCTTAATTGCTGAATGATACATTTTTCAGCAATCTTGGTGTTATAATCTCTCTTCTTACGGTATGACCCAGCTATTCCTATTGCTTAGTATTCTTGGACACCAAATCACTCGACAAGACCCAAAATCAGAACACAGTTGGACAGGAAAGATTATATTCCAAATAACAAGGTTCGATGGAAGTAAGAAGCACAATAGAGAAAACGTTAGTATATTTATAGTTTTTACATGAGAAGGTTCTAGAGTATTCTCCATGTTGAAGTGATTGCCTCTTTTATCCCCTTCCAGTTGCTCTCCATGCTAGTTCCATTTCCATTGAGTAGATCGTGAAACGCCTGGAACCTATTGCTGAGGGCTATCTTGAATTTTGTTGAGTTAGTCAGTGTCGCGAAGAAACACCGTATTCGAGTTTTGTGATGTTGTCCGCCTCATTGTTCGGTGCTTCTTGAGTTTCGATTTCATCTTGGCGACCAGCAAGTGATGACCTGGTGCTATATCAGCTCCTCTCTTGGTCCTCACGTCCTCCATCGTCCTCCTGAACTTTTTGTTGATGCAGATATGATCGATTTGGTTCTGCGTAGTGTGATCCGGTGAAGTCCATGTGGTTTTGTGAATGCGTTTATGTGGAAATATAGTGTCGCCATTGACTACATAGGTTTTCAAATCTCTCACTATTCTCGTTCCTTTCTCCAAGTCCATGTCGTCCCATGATATCTTCATATCCGGTGTTGCCCATTCCAACCTTGGCACTTAGGTCTCCCATCAGAATGGTAAAGTCCTTTGTTGGGTGCTTTTCAACGATTGACTGCAGCCTATCGTAGAATTGATCTTTAGCGTCTTCATTGTGATCGTTGGTAGGCGCATAGCATTGGATGATGTTCATTGAAATGCCCTCTTTCTTTGTTTTGAAGGACGCTTTGACGATCCTAGGTCCATGAGATTCCCATCCTATAAATGCTTTTTGTGCTTGTTTTGATAGCATCAATGCAATTCCTTGTGTATCTGGGGCATCTTCTTCTTCATGGTCGGAGTATAACAGAAGCTCTCCTGAAGTTAGTCTTTGTTGTACAACTTGTGTCCAATGTGTTTCACTGATCCCAAGCACCTCTATGTTGTATCTCCTCATTTCTGCAGCAATTCGGAAGGCGTTTCCGGTTCGAATAATTTTTCCTGGTTAGCGTTTTTTTAGCGAGTTAGTTTTCTACGGGATGGGGTCGCTAACCCCATGCCCAACCCTCCTCCTTTATCCGGGCTTGGGACCGGCAGTAGCCCGCGGAGGGACTCCAGGCGAAGTTATGTTTGCTTCAGTTTTATTCAAAATATGGTTATTAATCTATATTTTTCATATCTGTGGAATTTCATATTTCATTCGTATACCTAATTAAAACAACTGTGAGTGGTATAATTAAATGTATTTTTTATTTATGTTTGTACTTACATGGTTGTAGGGACCAGTTTACGCTTTACCATTTTATTCATTATTATCACCGGAGCACCAACAAAGTGTATTTCAGCCACCACCTGAAAATCATCGTCTCATTGTTGTTGCTACGAATGTTGCAGAGACTTCAATCACAATCCCGAATATTCGATTTGTTGTAGATACTGGCAAGGTGAGTTGTTTTGGGTTATTTTTCTTCCATAGTGTTTATTAATTTTTGCTCTCTACATGTATTGTTAATTGGTAACTGGTTTCGCTGTTTAGGACCGTAATCTACTGATAGTCGTGTTATCTTTTATATCGGTCGATTTGAAAGGCGGGGGTCGATAATTTGATTTCGTAAACCGTTATCAGTCAGTCACATTGTGTCATGACAGAACATTCGTTGGTGAACATTCTAACATTTGATGACAGAAACTGTGACTAATCTACGAAATTCAAACCTACACCCTCCATAATATCATGACTTAGCACATTGGTGTTTTGTATGACAATAATTGATTTGACGAAATTACTGATAATGTCTTTACGTAGTTACTGATCGAATCCTAACCATATAGATAACGTATTTACTAGTTATTACCTGAATATATATATTGTTTAACCAAGATATTTTATGACCAATAGTTACTCATCAGATAACAAGGGATTTATCAAAAATGAAAACAAAGTTGACTAGACGACCAATGAATTTTCTCCGCTCGTCATATAATCTTTAATTAAAAGTGTAGGATCTATGAGAAGTGACAATTGCAGATGTTTAACACTCTTAAAGCACTAAAATCCTTATCATCTCCTTGCATATACCAGGTCGGCTATATTTCGTTGCCTTAGATCATGGTTACTACATTTCAAATATCCAATAACAAATAATGTCATGTGAATGCTTAACTGATTATTAATACGATTCGTTAGGATTTACCCTCTCATTTTCCGTACTGAATTCTAACTGACCTACGACCACTTTGAATAAACGGACATTCCCTCCTTTTCTATACTATTCTGCTTGTTTACATTTTCCCTGCAGTTCTTTTTGTGATAATTTTCCTATTATTATTATTATTGTTATTATTATTATTATTATTTGATTGCGTCACACAAAAATATCGCAGTTTCGTAATGATATATTCGTTATTTAATTAAAAGTTATTTAATCTCTTTACACCAGTTATTAACATATTCTTTATTGTGGAAATAAAATTCACCAGTTCACATATCTTACTGTTTTCCAAAATATTTTTAATAATAACTCGATGGATTGTAATTATTTTTAATAAAATAACAAATGCTTTCTGAATAGATGAAAACCAAAGTTTATGAACCAGCTACTGGGACTTCTAGTTTTGAAATTATCTGGATTAGTCAAGCATCCGCTGAACAACGTGCAGGAAGAGCTGGTCGTATTGGGCCGGGGCATTGTTATCGTCTTTATAGTTCACAAATCTTTTCAAGCATGAAACAATTCTCTACTCCTGACATACTTTCACGTCCTATCGATGAAGTGGTTTTAATGTTAAAGGTAATAACTAATTTAAAAAATGTCTTGTCAAAACAAATTAAATTACTACTGTCATCTCATTATGGTCTGCTAATTATCACGCGATATGATCGCCAATGAAAACACCGACTTACTGACCAGAGCTACCAGTAAGAGCAGTCTAGAATCAACTTTGTGTTCTTATTGTTCCGCCGAGATAGTAACTTCTCGCCTAAACTAGCCAGTCTAGTTCAGAACACCAATATCAGCCTCCGCTGTTTCAATCATGTGTTTCAGACATACTTGGTTTATGTACAAACAGAACAGATCACATCATACTATAAAATTAAAAATAACAGTTATACAAGATCAGTCAAAAAGTGTCTATAATTATGAGAGACTAAAACCAATAAATTAGGAATAACTTACGAAATAGTAAATCGTATAATAGCATTCAATAGGTCAAATAAAAGCTTATAATAAGAAAAATATAAATATATATAATCTGTTTACTAAACAGTTATTCAATAAGAATATATATAATAAAAGTCCATAAATAGCGATTACAATTTACTTGTTCTTCGTCCAGATATAACAACTACATATGTAATTGATAAATATTTTTAATTTCAATAGTTGAGATCATGAGTCAATGGAAGCTAGACCACCATGGAAAATCTAGAAGCAGTGGACGGCCGTTCCGCCCTATTGCGGGACTCATCAGCAGTGCGCACTCACGATTCCGCCTCGCGGGATTCGGACCCAGAACCTATCAGTCTCGCTTGCTAGCGCTTAACCACTAAACCACTGAGCCGGCAGCCAACGGTGTTAATGTCTAACTTCAACTAATCCACGAAATTGAGCGACACATCCACCATTTTCATCAGTGAGTTACTATCCCACAACAGACGCGGTTGAACTCCACTGGTCACTGCTTCTCACTAGAACTCCAGGAATTACCTCTTTAAAGTCATATATTTTTAACTCAGTTGTTTTTTCTGTAGATACTAATTCGAATTTCTTTAGTTATTGCCTTCTTCGTTTTAAATAAATTATAGAAATAACCATTATTAAGTTAAGATGCTTAAGTAATTCTGATACGTAGAAATGTCTCGCAACCTAAAATCACTGTTAGATATTACACAGATAATTTTAATATCTTTTTACGGTCTATGATATTTTGATTCACTGTGTGTTTGATTTACCGGCCACAGTTTCATATTTATATTTATTCCCATTTGTATCGATCCATTTTACTGTTTTATTACATGTCGTCTTTAGTCCAACTATTTTATCACTTTATTGATGTTTATGTTTGCATAAAAGTAATCATTACGATTTTTTCCCCTTTTTTTGTATTAGCTTTACCTGGGTAATACAAAATTAACGTTGTTTCCTTTACCAACTCCTCCTTTGCCACAAGCGATTGAAGCAGCTGAAAGACGACTAATCGCTCTTGGTGCCTTAAAAGAGACTGTCAATGCTTCTGGAGGTAATTTCGATGGAAACATTAATTAATTAAAACTCTGACCTTTTACGTAATCTGTCGCGCCGCATATTTATCACAATATACTTTTGTTTTTTAGGCGTATCTCGTACAATTACGGACGCTGGTAAATGGATGACACGTGTTCCGGTTCCTGCACGCTTTGCACGAATGTTATTATTTGCAAATCAATGTCAATTAATGCCGTATGCTGTGATACTAGTTGCTGCCTTATCTGTACCAAATCTCTTCCTCTCTCAAGTTGCAGATACACCTGTCTCGGAACAAGAGAAAACTTTTCAGTCAAATTTTGTCCAGCAGTTTGTCAGAAAAGCAAGCATCACTGCAAATGAATTTATTATTTTTGTTTTTACCATATGGATTTCCATTTATCAGCTATTTCGCTTCATTATGATACTAATACGTTTTAATGTAAATTCCTGCAAAAAACCCTGACTCTTAATCGTCTACATTCTTATTGGAAGTTCTGTTTAACCACTGGATGGTAGTCATTCGTAAAACTGTTGATATCAGAATAATCCCAAACACCTCAAATGTGTGAAAATATACAGACTTCCAATACGTCTATTCACATTTAAGATACGCCGTATATAATTAAAAAGTGTCGATAAAAATCTACACTGTGATGTTGTAGTTTGGACAGTCGACCTCCAACTAGCCTGTTTTTGGTCCGTAGACTGTAGTCTCATTCCATGTCTTGATTCATTTATCCCTGACTTGTTCTATCTACTCCTATGCCAACCAACATCGCACACCTGGATTAGTGGTGTTTAGACATAAGTAGCACATGTCCCAACAACGTCGGTCAATAAAGTGCTATGGTCTCATCTGTGGACTTATCCTTTTCAACTAGTATTATAACTCTAACCTCATCAAGACTCACTCCATGGTCCCATCAAATTCGAACAGTGCTTTAAAAACACCTTTGATAAAATACTTTTACCCTGCCTATTCTTTCTAATTTTATGGAACACATCACGTCGTAACTGTACGGTAATACAGCCCTGACTGCTGAATAGTATGCTTGCGGCTTTGTCATAAAATGATATCTTAGCATACATATTTTTCCATAAGCCGACATCTTAAAGGTCTGAAGCAGTATGCAACTCAGAACTCATCGTAAATTGACAATGCATTTTAACAACTAAGTACAGATTTATGTACTATGTGTTCACGAAGATTCATTTTTACTGTAAGGGATAGGTACATCACCTGACCAAAAGTAACAGAGTTGTTTCTGAACTTACATTGATTTGAGATTGAGAGTGTTTTATCGAACGAACCTCATTTGTTCATAATTTCAACAACCTTTGACAAACTTCTGAGAAATGCTTGCAGTGGCATTCGTTTTACTAGTTCCAAAGTTTCATTTGATCATATCAGTTTGTTAAAGCTCTGAATATATATAGGGTTGTTTTTCCTGTAGAAAGAAGATTTATATCTGGGAGACCTTGCAGTACTACTGGGGACAATATGTTGTTTAGAGCGCTACTCAGCTCAGCTCAGTGGACTGACTCCTGCAGAACCTGGTATAATTGAATCTGTTGGTGGGAAGACCTATGTATCACGTGATCCTGAAGGTGCATTGAGACAGCTCGTTCATCGATGTGGTGTCCGGTGGAATGCATATAAAGAGGTTAAACAACTTCGTAAACAACTAACCGATATTTGTAAGTTTCAAATTGTGTATCCGTTTATTTATTTGTTTTGAGCTGAAGTGAATAGCGAGTTAAAGGAACTTTTAATTGTGTCCAGATTTATACATCTTGTTGTGAGACTTAAACAATTTTGCCAAAGTCTAAATACTCTACTTAACCCTGTAAATCGCAATAGGTCAAATAATTTGTGAACTCATAATTTTATGGTCATTACTCAGTTTTTTTTACATATTCTGATCCTGCTTTCCTACGGCAATAGTAATGGGATTCTTGGATTTTGTGAAATAGATAAGAAGTTTCTATTTTTACCAAATACCTATTCAGTTTTTTATAATTATGACTGCTCAAGTTTTCTTTCGCAGGTTCAATGACGAATAACGTCATTGCACTATTTTTATGCTTTTATACTATTACTTTAGTGAATGTGATTATTCCGGATCTTGGTCTTTCGATTGATCTGTGTTTACCTAAACCCAGTGATTTTCAAATGATCCAGTTGAGACAATTGTTTCTAGTTGGTTCACCTTGTCAAATTGCTAAAAAACTTAATGTCTCTGTCACTGGTTTACCCGGTAATGAGCGTCGTAGACTACGTTATGCCTATGAAGTAAGTGAAGTTCAATACATCTCATTGTATATTTTACAGTCAAATTCAGTATCGTACACTTATTTTCTGTAATATTTCAAATACGATCTATTCGGATTACGTAGCGAAGTTACAATGCATTCATCAACTTATACATAAAATTACTGCTCTCTGTATTCATCCCGATATTTATTATAACTCAAATAGTAATAATGAACTGTGTTTATTTTTGTATATGAATTGTCCTCTTCAAATGTCCCTGTCTTTTAGTGGTTTGTTTTTGTCTCAGTTTGTTTCGTATTTAGACCAGTTGTGTTATGCCTTTCAATTAGCTAACCATGACTTTATTTGTACGATAATTTGTAGATTCCTGGCAAACAAGGACCCGTATTTATTGATTCAAATTCCACTTTGGCACGTGAAAATTTCCCTTTCGTAGCTTATTTGGAGCTACATACCACTTCAAAACCATTCTTACGTTGTAAGAAGAATGTTTTTATTGAGTTGCTATGTCTTCCGTATGTCTTGGACAAGTTTCATTGGGTTTCAACATGTCCTGTTTGTAAACTTCGTTAGAATTTCATACATCCTAATCCCTTGACAAATTTAAGTAAACGTAAAGATAAAGACTTGCAAAGCAACATGAATTCACTATATTTCAAGGCTTCTCATCAGCGACGAACGGCTTAAATTTACAGCTGATGGGAAGCCTTGGAGTACAGAAAATCCGCGTTATTCTGTAAATCCTGTGGTCATCTGTTGATTAAGAGATTTTTATGATTGGTTTGAATTCACATGGAACAAATGTTAGTGTTACGAGTATTTTTGCGAGGGTACCTGTACTAATTTTTTGTCTTGGTGTATTAAACAAAACACGCGTATATTTGTAATGCTTTACAGACTACGTGACATTCTACTACTTCCAATAGCTTCCTAAACAATACTATTCTTCACCTTATAGTGGATATGAATAACTCCTCATCCCAAGCAATTACTGAATGATTAGTGGAAATTAGTTGACTGGTCAGAAAGATGATTAGTAGACATACCACTCGATTCCTTTCTTTTATCGAATAAATTGCTGACGTCAATTCTTCTGAAAGGAAAATGGTGTTACTAGATTTTGTTTTTGTCTTCACAAAGGTTCCCCAAACGTAGACAATTTACTATTTGCGCAACCATAGTAAAATAACCTAGACGTATGTTTTTAATAACGTTTTCAAAGGGAACTAACCCGACGTCACACTCTCAAGGTATGATTCATATTCTTTGGGCAGATAGATGGTGTTGCAAGGGACTCGTCAATTAAGGCCTGTTTCAGCAGAATGGTCATGGTGAATATTGTTCTCTAACCAATAGTTGGTGATTGTAATTTCTTTAAGGGCAATGTGGTTGATACCTTCATCATTCAGGCAGATAGCTATCTAAATAAAATTAGTATGTAACGGTGAATCTTTTTACAAATAGAGTTCTTTCTCTAAAATTTTAGTTTTCATCATCTAAACCCTAATTGAATATAGCATCTACGTATATGTATAGTAAACTTTAGCTTGTAACACTAAGCCAAACGGCTATGAAATTAATACTTTGAGATCTAGTTCACAAGTTGACTAAGGTTCAAATTTGTAATTGCTACAATTGATCTCAGTGATATTTTATATAATTTGTGTATAATGTACGCAAACATTTAGTATTTAATGATACTCTTTTTATTTCGAATGTCATTATACGTTTAGTTTTTAAAAAATTAAAAGTGTAGGAAACAATGAATTGGCTAAACTCTTACAGTCTTCGTTCATATGTGTAGTTTTCGGAAGATTTAGTTCCACAATTGTTTGTCTTTTCCTAATTGAATTACGTCTTACTTGTAAATAATATTAAGAGTATTTTTGCCAAATACTTGTGGAGTTTATTGTTAAATTTACAAATAACGTCTTATTACAAAACTAGATATTTAAAAGTTTATTTTAAACGTATTAATTAGAGGCTTTGTATATATTTATCGATTTATATAACATTTTAGCTGTTTGTGCAATCGATCCTGGATGGATCCCATTCTTGGCGCCTCACAGTTATGCTGTCAGTGAACTTGTACTGACAGATAATGTCGACACCAGTGAAAATAAATCTGGAAATCAGAGCACAGTTAACGAACCAAATAATAGCGGAAATGGTGATGATGAAGGCACTAAATCTGCTGCCAATACATCTGTTACATCAAACTCTGTTGTATCCCTTCCCACTCCGCGTTATGATTCTGAACGCGATATTATTGTTACAGGTGCGAAATCTATTATATATATTGGGTTGGGTGTTGTTCCCGAGTCAAGTGCACCACTGTTTGATAATCAGTTTTTGGATCTGCCAAGCACGGTTCTTGTTCCTATAAATAGCATTGCTGCGGCTCAATCACTAGGTTTCAAAGAATCATTAACATGGAGTGTCCGGTGGTTTACTCGTTATCTTTTGGAAGGTGTCATATTCTCTGAATTTAAAAAGTGGTTCCCTTTAAAAATAAAAAAGAGTATTTCACCACAAATTGTAACTGTTTCATGGGGGATGTAAGTTTTGGGTGCTTTTTTCGTTGACCTCATATAAATTAACATTAATTGAAATTTAGAGAGTTTGTACGACTTATTCTGTTGTTGTATGGATATATTTTTCTCCCGACTGAGGTGATATTCTCATATTGGTATAAACAGTTTGATAATGTAGTTTAAATATTGTTTCCATCTTCACTACTGTATTAACCAGAAATTAATATTTTCTCCAAGTTTGGCTTTCTTTCTGAAACTACGATTAATCATAAACCTATTTTAAGAAAATAATAATTTGATACTACTTATTGAAGTTTGACCCTTGTTATTGTAGTAAAAAAGTGTCTAGCTTTTGTTTATAACTATGGATTATATATATATATATATATATATATATATATATATATATATATATATATATATATATATATATATATGAACACCAAGATTGTTTTGGTCACTTGTTCTAACGTCGTCTGGGCAATAAAAACAATTTGATCTTCGTTCTAATGCTTGATTAACTAGATGCTACATGATGACTTGTTGTGAAACAGGTTTTATTTTAAAATGTTTAGTAACAATTGATAAGTTGTGATAGTGAGAATGGTTTTTCAGTGTATTATGAAGCAATATAACTTCAGTATTTTCGTTCATTTCATTTCACAGCATTCGCCCTGAGGTACGTTCTATAGTATCTCTTCTTGTCACTGACAAGATCGATTCAAAGAGAAAACTATTACAACAATGGGAGTCTGACGTCCAATGTAAGTGATGCATCCTTCTTAATGTTGAGCTTTGTAGATCTTTCGAAAGAGCTGGCATCATGGATACGCCCGGAATATGTCAATGACTTCCATGCATCGTGGCCGCTGATACAAAGTCGTCCCATATCCTAATTCCGCAATAAGGTTTACAATATGTAAATTATTTTTATCTTTGTTATCAACTTTCCAAATACATATGTACAGTAGTATTTATTTCCTTTACCTTCCAGTATCATTAATCAATATTGATAGTCGGGATTCAAGACAAACCAGTGTCTTTTATACTGAAAATGTCTTACTATCCATTACATTGTTTGTATTAGTTGGTGAATAGATTGATTCTCGATATCTTATATTCCAAGCAGTTAGTATAATAATTTGCCCTGGAACATCACTGATTTTCTCTTTTAGTGTTGAATAATTCCTTCAAAAATTATCAAGACCTAGATCCATTGTACACCTAGGTTAAGTCGTTTTAACCAATAAGTCTCTGTGCTAAAACTTCTAAACAGTATTAATGTCATTTCAAAGTGCTTATTTAAGCATTAGGGGTGTTTAAGTATGTTCGTCCTCATTCTATTTTCGTTACATCCATGACGATACATCTTGGGTTGTGTCAGCTTTATTGGCAATCCGCATATGTATATCAATAGTAAAATCTTTTCTATTAAGTGACTATTCGTATTATACTTTGGCCTCTGGGTCAGTAAATTGGTAGCGGTGTATTATCCCTGTTTGAATCTTTGTGACAGTCGAGAATAACATGTTTTGAAGGTTCATTGCACTACAGAACGTAAGGTCGGATGCAGTATGTAGCTAGATAAAGTTCCGTGGAACAGTCAAAGGCAAGTATGAAGGGAATGATGTGTCAATTACGAAAGTCTTGTTATTTAGTCGATTCGTGATAGCGTGGAGTTGGTGTGTTGTTTTTGAACAACTATCAAGTTTCGGATCTAAAGATTCAAGTGCTGGATTTTATAGGTGATAGCTTTTTGGTTGCACCTCCATAAAGCTAGGCCGCATTGCTTTGTGTTATGGTCATTTTTCCTCCGACTGAATCGTTGCCACTGGATAAGCGGTAGATGCGGTTCAAAAAATAGCCCCAAACGTGTTCATGTGAGGAAAAGTAGTATTATGCTAGTCATGATATCGTTCCCTCGGCTGTCGTGTCTCATCATGGACGCAATGAGTGTTAAGTTTAGCCTGGCGTACATAGTCTTAGCCAAGTTGTAGGAAATAACATTTGTACATTTAAAAAAGGTAAATACTCAAGGAAGATGATGATGTTTGGTCTGGATCGATTGATGTGACGAGCCTGAAAAAGATAGGTATCATATTAGGATCATCATTTCAAAATCCTGGATTTTGTCACATTCAATGACATTTAAGTCCAAGCTCGTAGTTTTTGAGACCGAAGACGTTATACAGAGCACATAATCCTGAAAGTATAAACTCGAAATTCAAGCTTCATAAGTGTAATGCGCTAATAGTATAGGAGGAGAAAAGAAATTCATAAAATATTTCCGGAGACTGAAACGGTGTCACTTAGAGCTAAAGAAGTACGAAAGTTATAAGCAGCATTGGTCGAATGGACGTGAATACTTCATGTTAGTTTTGTGCCTCGAGTTCGTACGTCTTTTGACAAGATGTTACCTCCGTGACAAAACTCCGTAAGCCATAGAAAACCTCCAGAACAGTTAGAACGCCCGCATTATTTTGAATGCACATATTTGATAGACCAAACTATGTTTTAAAAAAATCTGTCAACCATTGGAAGGAAACATAAATTCACTTGATGTTTTGAAGGACTATTGTACCCATGACTGATTTAAGAATTGGCTGTACACTATAAGCCGGAGTACGCGCGTTTTAGGCACAGATCAGTGGTGGTTAGGAAGAAATTCAGGACATCTGGTTCTTCCTATTTAGGACTTGTGTAGATGTACCTCCATCCTGATGTTGATTCTCACTCAAAGACATCAGCCAGCTATCTTTTTAAATGCCAGCGGGTTATCGACTTGGTTAGTCAGTCTAGATTAACACTGGTCTATGCAACGGGATGCAGTGTTCAGACAATCCACACAGGATCAGACGGAAATGGGTCTGTTTCCGCCTATAATATCAAACTTCAATATTTCCCATTATGAATCAACTACGAATGTAGTCTTGTTAAACGTAAAGCTACTCATTATTCACAAAAAAGAATGCAGCATGAAAGAATTTCAGAAAAGATATTCTTTTGAATGTCAACCTAATGTATGTGGTATACCGAGCTAACTGAGCATGAGTGTGAATAATTGTCAGCTATTTGAAATTGTAGAGGTAAATAAACCCCCAAAAATCAAAGCTCTGTAAGTCTTCGACATTGATGCTGATCATATTAGTGTCAATGGATTGAAGGCGCTTGGTCACACATTGTCACCAGATGAAGACTGAGCACGTTGTGCTCAACTTTTCCTGCAACCGCTAGCCAGTCACTTCTCGATATTTTGATAAACTCTCAAATATAACTTCGAACCCCCCCCCGCTTCTGACTTGATTTCACTGATTGCGCACGATTCAATTATAGAATATGTTACTGGTTCATTTATTGTCGGATTACGAATACTCGTGGCATCTTCAAAATACAACACTACTCCCTCAATGCAAATGCTTAACCCGTCTTACGAAACAAATGACTTATCGTGACAATGGATTTTCAATAATTTTGCTCCAAACTTCATTCAGTACTGAGACGTATGGTATTTTTGTTTGAAAACGATGTGTCGAATTGGTCAAAACCGTCGAAAGAATAAATATCAGTCTTCGAGACTTTGTAGGCACAATTTGAAAGGATTTTTTGAAGCGATTATACTTATGTAATCGAAAGAGAAACATACTGTCACAGTTGACTCATATTTACATAACTTGCCACGAAGTTATATTGTGTATATAGAATTCAGTAAATACAATGTACGTTCAGATATTCCAGGTTATTTAATTATCTGATAATAAAATATTATAGATGCAAACCAACGTTTTAAAGATAGGATAATTTCGGCCACTATGTAAGTAGGATGTCACTGACAATAGGATGTATGATATCTGTTCCACCTGCACATGATCGGAGAGGAACTTTCACACAGCATGTCCTCTAAAGATAAATATTGATAATGTATTAGTTGAATTCATGAGTCAATTAAATCTAGAATAAATTGAAAAACCCGGTAGCACTGGACGACCGTTTCGTCCTAGTATGGGACTCCTCAGTAAGGCGCATCCACGATCCCGCCCTGCGAGAATCGAATGCAGGACCTATCGGTTTGGCGCGCGAACGCCTAACTCCTGGACCACTGAACCGGCATCCAACAGTGTTAATTCAACAAATCCATAAATATTGGGAATCTTAACGAATCGAATGACTTCAAAGTGATGAATATAAAGAGCCTTCAGAAAAATCAGAAAATTGCATCCTTCTGAAAAAGGAATCATAAATTTTATGTAGTTTATGCAATGATTTTAATGACTAAAAATTCTGACTCAAACATCCACCACGGTTAACAGTCCGTCAGACGCTAGCACTTTTAGACTTACCACTCCATAATAAAATATTCTGAAGTCCTAAAGTATGTTTTACTTTTTCTAGTGGAATAGTGGTGCGAACAAAGAAACAAAGAAGTCATGACGATAAACGTAAATATAGCATTTAGTGTTGCCCGCAATTTATTCTACACACAACAAACTTCGGTTTTATATAATGTAAACTGCCATACTCTTTTCTTTTCCGAAGCAATTATAATTTAAACGTGATCTTTTGTACACTATTTTTCTAACCTAATGAAATTTTTTAGTAAATTTGTATTTTTATGATTGTTTTTGCGTTCTAGTGATGTTACTCATTCATTTATCCTCCTTTTTTAACGCTAGTCGTAATCGATGTCAAGCAGCTTTAGCCTCAATGTCAAACCACTTTACCCGTCTTATCAAGGCCATAACCTAGATTGAGACAAGTTCCGTCTTCTATATTATTGAGTAGGAAACGGAATTAAACACTTTCTTTGGATATGCTGACTGTAAAGGAACGAATTATCCTGATTTTGATATGAAATACTTTGGTGAAATAAATCCGGTTAAAAAGGCTCACACATTCAGCCGCTATGAACTATATGATTGTGCATTTTTGATCACATGTTACCTTGCTAAATGAATCATGTTCCCCCTAACTAGTACTTGATTCGTTTACAACTGACATATGCTGAGATTGTAGGTTGTGAGCTATCGACCTTCAAAGAGCACGACTCATCAACAATTCAATGAACAGGTACATTCACTTTCCCCGTTATTTATATGTTATTGTTTTGCGCATTAACAGAAGTGTGGAACATTGACTATAGTTTTTTGGTGGAAGGGTCATCAAAACTTTCAAAGTCATTGAAATATAAATGAAGTTAGATGGAATATATATTTACATAACATCTTTATCAAACTCTAGCTGATAAAATCGCTCGTTCGTCTATGTATACCAGTCTTTCGCCTAGAAATGCTTGAATAAACTGTATTATGACTCCTTTCGAAAATTGTTTGTGCTGGGAGATATAATATTTACATTTCTTCAATTCTGTCGTAACCTTAGACGAAGTACAATATTCTCGGCGCCAAAAACAACTAATCAACTATACGGAGTGTTTACTGTCCTTTAGGATGGCTGATGTGCTAGATTTACATGGGGAGAATGACTTCGAAGAAGACGCAGATGGTGATCGTAAGTGAACTTTGTTGGTGTTTTTAAAAGTCTAATAGTCGTCATAAGTGACTGATTTGAAGGATTATAGTAACGTCAACCTGAATGTACTTGTAGCTTGTACAGTTCATATTTATATACCTTCAGAATGTGCTTTTCTAGTGTATTACATAGGATTTCAAGATTCACAGTTAGTCTCCTAATTTTTCCTATTGTATAGATTTTGTATTGAAAATATTCAGTTAACGCAACAATCTTATATTGATGTTATGTTATTGAAGAGTGGTTTCAGGTATCCAATCGGATGAAGTTCAGTTATTGTAACACATTCTTGTTGATCTGGTTAGTTCGGCATGGATAGATTTCGTCGGAAAAACGTTAGGTACAGTTTTAGACTTGGAATCAATAACTT